GGGCGAGCGCCCCCCCGCCTGCCCCGTCTGCGGCAAAGCCTTCGCCCAAACCTCCAACCTCCGGCAGCACCAGCGGGTCCACACGGGGGAGCGGCCCTACGCCTGCCCCCAGTGCGGCAAGACCTTCACCCACTCCTCCAACCTCCAGCTCCACCGACGCACCCACTCCGCCGCGCGCCCCTACCGCTGCCCCCTCTGCCCCAAGGCCTTTGTCATGGCCTCCTACCTCCAGCGTCACCTCCGCACCCACGCCCCCGGTCCTCGCGGGACTCCCCGCCGTCCCCCTCTGCCTCCCCCCGAACCCCAGCTTCCGATCTTGGTGCAGACCCCCCAGGGCCTGCAGCTCATCCCCAGCCCCCCGACCCCCCCGCGGAAGCTCCTGCTGCTGCCCAGTGCCCCAGCCGAGCCCCCTGCCTTCACCCTACTGCCTGCTGAGGGTCCCTCACCCCAGGCGGGGAAGGGCCCCCGGGCGTTGGGACCCCCTGCCGCTGGGCAGAGCATCCTCTTGGTACCAGGCACGGGGCAGGCGCTGCCCGGCATCCAGCTCCAGGCCGTGGCAGGGACCCCGGCGGGGGCCAGTGTCATTGTCCTGAGGGGTGGCGTTGGCAGTGTCCTCCCCCTGCGGGCACCGCAGCCCCCCGAGGTGAGCAGCGTCCAGCTGCAGGCAGCCGAGGTGACCAACGTTCAGCTGCAAGCCCTGCCACAACCCTTGGAGGTCACCAATATCCAGCTCCAAGCTGCCGAGGTGACAAACGTTCAGCTCCAAGCTACAGAGGTGGCAAGCGTCCAGCTCCAATCCCTGCCGCAGCCCTTAGATGTCACCAACATCCAGCTTCAAGCTGCTGAGGTGACGAACATCCAGCTCCAAACCCTGCCACAACCCTCCAAAGTGACCAATGTCCAGCTCCAAGCTCTGCCACAGCCCTTGGACGTCACTAACATCCACTTCCAAGCTGCCGACGTGACCAACGTCCAGCTCCAAGCTCTGCCACAACCCTCCGATGTCACCAACATCCAGCTGCAGGCCACAGAGGTGACAAATGTCCAGCTGCAAGCCCTGCCACAACCCTTGGATGTCACCAAGATCCAGCTCCAAGCCCTGCCACAACCCTCCAAGGTGACCAACATTCAGCTCCAAACCCTACCGCAACCCTTGGATGTCACCAACATCCAGCTGCAGGCCACCGAGGTGACAAATGTTCAGCTCCAAGCCGTTCCACAGCCCTCGGGCATTACCAACATCCAGCTCCAAGCCCTGCCACAGCCCTCAGAGGTGCCCAGTGTCCATCTTGAGGCCACAGAAGTATCTGACGTCCAGCTGCAGACCACAGAGGTGACAGATGTCCATCTCCAGTCCACGGAAGTACCTGACATCCATCTCCAAGCCACAGAAGTGACCAACATCCATCTCCAAACTACAGAGGTGCCTGATGTCCAGCTTCAGGCCACGGAGGTGCCTGACATCCAGCTGCAGACCACAGAGGTGCCCGACATCCAGCTTCAGACCATGGAGGTGCCTGATGTCCAGCTCCAGGCCATGGAGGTGCCTGACGTCCAGCTCCAGGCCATGGAGGTGCCTGACGTCCAGCTGCAGAGCACAGAGGTGCCTGACGTCCAGCTCCAGGCCATGGAGGTGCCTGACGTCCAGCTGCAGACCACGGAGGTGCCTGATGTCCAGCTCCAGGCCATGGAGGTGCCTGACGTCCAGCTGCAGAGCACAGAGGTGCCCGATGTCCAGCTCCAGGCCACAGAGGTGCCTGATGTCCAGCTCCAGGCCATGGAGGTGCCCGACATCCAGCTGCAGACCACAGAGGTGCCCGATGTCCATCTTGAAACCACTGAGGTGCCCAGTGTCCATCTTGAAACCACTGAGGTGCCTAACAGCCATCTCCAGACCACAAAGGTGACCAGTGTTAACCTGCAGGCCACCGAGGTGACCAACATCCATCACCAAACCATGGAGGTGCCCAGCGTCCATCTCCAGGCCGCAGAGGTGCCCAATATCCATCTCCAGACCATCTCCACCTCCACTGAGGTGCCCAGTGTGTGTCACCAAACCACTGAGGTGCCCAGTGTTCATCTCCAAGTCACAGAGGTGCCCAGCCTCCATCTCCAGACCATGGAGATGACCAATGTCCATCTCCAAGACACTAAAGCGTCCAGTGTCCGTCACCAAATAATGGAGGTGCCTAACATCCATCTCAAGATCACGGAGGTTCCCAACATCCAACTGAAGACGATGGAGGTGGCAGATGTGCATCTCCAGGCCACAGAGGTGCCCAACACCTGTCACCAAATTTTGGAGGTGCCCAGCGTCCAACTCAGGACCATGGAGATGCCTAACATGCATCTCAAGACCGCAGCGGTGCCTGGTGTCCAACTCAAGACCACAGAGGAGGTCCCCAACATCCAACTCAAGACCATGGAGGTGGCCAACGTCCAACTCAAGACCATGGAGAAGGTGCCCAACATCCATCTCAAGACCATGAAGGTGCCCAACATTCAACTGAAGACCATGGAGCTGCCCGGTGTCCAACTCAAGACCATGGAGGTACCCAACATCCAGCTCAAGACTGTTGAGGTGCCCAACGTCCAACTCAAGACCGTGGAGGTGCCCAGCGTCCACCTCAAGCCCACGGAGGTGACAAATGTCCATCTCCAGGCCACAGAGGACCCCAACGTCCAGCCACAGCCCCCTGAAGTGCTGGTGGCAGGCGGGGGGGCGCCCTCCTCCCAATCCCCACGGCTGGCAGTGGTGGGGACGGCCGGGGGGCTGCCCCCCGTGGTGCTGCTGCGGGGGGCTGGGGG